ATATATATATATATATGGTTCAGAAGAAGCAACCAGCATTTCATTGGAATCCCTGACTTGAAACATGACACTAATCATGATGGAAGCATGCATTTGGAGTTTTCGGCCATCATGGCTTGTTGGGACAGTTGCAGCAGATAATGCTGATCTTAGAAAACCCTTTTCAGGTTAAGAAACAAGTGGAAACTGTCAAGTGTGTGTGGACTGTCGCTTGAATGAATGCTACCTTTTAGTGCTGACTCATCTTTACCGTATGTAGTTCAAGTTCATTCTGGTTCCTGAAAATGCCAAGTTCATTTGTTGGAGTACAAACCCGGATATCACCCGGACGCCGAAAGTGGCAACCACCGAGTGTTGTGCTTTAGATCAGATCCCTCTAAGCATTTTCGTTGAAAGGAAGGAATGCCTCTGAACCTACACAGCTGTAACAACCGATGGGCTTGAGTCGAAACTGAGTAGAAGGCACTAAACTGCCAGGTGATGCTAGGAATGTCAATGAGGAAACTTTACTAGGACCTCGACAGTGAAACTCCCTATTTTTCGAACGCAGTAGTGGGTCGACTTTACAGACTTACAAGGGGAATACACCCGAATGTGACTGCATATGACCAGGAGCTGTTGGCGAGAGAAAGAGAATATCCTCAAACAAAAATCGAAGTACCCAATTGCACGGAATCAAGAGGATTAATAAGAGCATACGACATTAAATGGGGGGCATTCATCGCGATTAACCGCATTAGCACTTGATCACACGATGATTGGTTAATCCCTGTTTTTTCCATTAAAAGCTAATGCTTTTCTAACTGGGCAAGCAAGCCACGCTCCTTTTGGAGGGGTATTTCTGCGAAGCATTTTATCTCTCGTAATTCAAATAACCTTCAGACCAGACCACGTCACTCTCTTCAGAGTATTCCAATTTCGAAAGCAATCCTTTTAGGACAAAACTGCTCTGAAACTCGAAAGAGAAATAAAGGCCTACGGATTTTTCGGTAACCATTTAGATCAAGTGAATTCGGTCGCGATGCATCTGCTGTTTATTCTGGCTTCTCCGCATTCGCTGATCGCAACGGTTACCCCAGTGTCATGCTCCAAAAGAATTGCCATTTTGCTGACATTGACAGCACGACTGATCAGCGATCGTAACTTTGTAGCACGAATGAGTGGAACCGTTGGCATCGCACATGTTAACTTAACAGACTGCTGTCTGGCCAACCAGAGGGTGATCGATGTGGAGCCAAAACCACGCTAGCCAGTGGTTATGCTTGTAAACACCCAAGGACTTCTGGTGACATGGAGCTTCATTTGGGCGGTCGCGCACGGAAAACAAAGTCGAGAAGTAACCAGCGAAGCCGAGTAAAAACAGTCATAACTAGCCCATGGGCCGGTATACCAATGAACGGTTATTGAATGGGAGACGAAAGAAGCCAAGTTGACAACACAACAGCCTTATTTATTCGTGGATGCCTGACTGCACAACAAGTCGTCAGCCTTCTGGCCAATCTTCAGGTCACTGCACTCACAAAGGAAGAATGCAGCTCATAGTTCCTAATCGACAAGTGGCTTTACAGAGCTTTGCACCGCTTTAGCATCGAATATCCTATGCGTGTGAAACCCTAACTGACTGCGAGATCAATGAACAGCTGAGAGGTAAGTGTCGAAAAGTTGCATATCCCACTGTGAATGGAGGCTAAGAAAACGCACGATTGTGAAAAAGGTGTAAACATTCACTCCGGTTGATAAATCTGGTACGGATAGGCAGCTTACTACAGTAAATCTAAGAAAGCAGAAAAAAGGGAGGTTGAAAGCAACTCACTTCTAGCCTTACTCTTGGTTTGGTGTTGCAGCTTTACAAACGCTAGAGGACAGTTTGGAGAAGCAGGTGGTTTCGGTGAATATTCCTCGGACGAGTGGATGCGCGATCGCTGTTCTACACGTGGCATTGTTGATATCTTGGACACCGGCAAAGCCAAATCTGAGCTAGCGCGATGCTCGGTTTCGTCCATGCTGGTATGATGCGTTCGCAATACGCAAGAATTGTACAACTTCCGACAATGATTAATTTTGAACTCAGAAGCCAAGCGGTGATACAGACTATCGCGTGACAAGGGTTCGACAGCGGACAACTTTGATGCTTTTACAGTCTGTAAGGTAAAGAGTTGAAGTAACTAAGGACGCTACTGAAGCTCTGAGGATATCCGATTGCTCAAGCCCAAAAAGGAGAAGTATACAGGTCCGGGTTATAAGTGAACTAGAAGTTTCTCAGCACATAACTCGTCCTTCCACCTCTGGAACAACTTAACAAGAAAGGTGACGGCAATATAACACAGTTTTGAAGTCTTCGATACCTATCCGTGTGCAATAAGGAGGAACCACAAGGGTTTGAAAAGCAGACCGCGAATCAGCACATCCCCTTCCTTTGGCGCATTATCCGAAAAATGGGGACGAGCCCTAGTGTAACTGAGGTGCTCAAAAGCCCGTACTCCAACCAACTGCGACGAAAATTTCACATAGGGATCGGTTTTCCCAACAGTTAAGACTTTCATTCAGTCCCATCAAATTCCTGTTCCTAACTCCACTAGGATAAATTGACGTTCACGTTCAAACCGAAGCCATATCCACATAGGTTGGTTCGTACCAAAGAATACTGATGCCAGTTAAGCATATCACCCTGGTCATCGTTTCAGAGGACAGCACTAGCGCAGGGGACCAATAGTTCACCATAGTATTTAAGCACATCACTTCGCTGAGACTCGCATAATTTTCTCAACTTTGCTCACAAGACTAGCCAGAATAAATATTCACTTAGCGATACACCGAACAACATCGTTAACAAATGCTCAAGTCAAATAAGGTCACTTATAGGAAACGTTCAACATGCTGCATTCAGTGAATTGAATGAAAAAATCTAAAAATGGAAGAAAACGATCGTTTGCCGGGATGCTCAGAACAAAAGGACTGCACCGCAAGCGCTAATTCCATGCGGAGATGATTAGAATAGTACTGAAGCGCGAGCACACTTACCGGTGAAACAGGAGCAGCTACCTCGGCTGCTTTATTGTTCTGCACAGTCGATGAGGCTGGTTCAACTTGGATGCACTTACGAATGGACAGACGCTTGGGGAAGGCGGTCACCGGGAGGGCGGCCACAAAAGTCATACTGGCACAGACCAACATCCCCATCCACCAAGCTCCCAGCCACAAGGGATCGTTCCGACTCAGGCCAGTGGGAGGCCGGACGAACGGAAAGTCAATGTAAATGCTGAGAAACCCGGCACCGGCGAGAAATCCACAGGCAGGGCCCAAACCACCAGCACTGTATAAGACAGCTGGTCGGAACCAAAGAACAGAATAGACGGAAGGGAACAAAAGTGAGGGTTGAAATATATTGCACAGTAAAACTTCTTTTCATACGTAGGCGGAATCCATCGAAGATACCGGAAACGGAGCGAAACTCACTCAGAAGCAGCAATTTCCGGGTGTACGTCTAAACAGAGTATTGTCTAAACAGGCAACTGGTCGCATTTTATGCATTTATTCACAATCAACCTCGCAGACATTGGGTCCAGCAGTTCCGGAAACCCATCGAGATTGACTGAAAGAAAGCCCATCATCCTTGATAGTGGAAATATAAAACAGAATAATAAAAATACACTAGTGTGGTCACAGTTCCGGTGCTTACAAACGAGCGTAGGGGAGCTTGACGAAGACAATGAGTTGGGGAATCCACTCAATGTTTAGGGTTTGTCCTTCTGCTCAGAACTTACAATTTTATCCAAACTAACCTCATTGTATCGGGAACAAAGTATCTAGGAATCGTTAATCGGGAATAGCGAGTACTGCACAAAATACAACTAGAATAAATCCAAAGCTGCTAATAGTATAGAAGAGAGATTCAGAGGAACTGCATTTGAGTTTCCAACCAAGATGAACTTAATTTGCAAATGACTGTTGTTCGCAAGAGACGTTCCGTTTGGTGTTCAAGGGGGAAGTCAGACTACTGGAAATTGGGGGACAAGACCCACCCAACACCCACCAAATGGAGGTGAGACCGATGAGGACTTTTTTGAACACTGTAAGATTACATGAGTACCTCAACACAATCACTGTTGATAAGCTATCGTGGCGCTAGAAATTAGCGGATAAACTAGGTGGAATAATACATTGTTTTCTTCAACTTGTAACTGTTCGAGAGTGTTGAGGATTACTCCCAGTGCCCAAGGAGGCTTCATCGAAGTATCGAGCAATGACTTGGGAACTGTCTGGGAGTGTCCTTAAATGAAAGAATGGCCAAACTATTACTTTGTGACTTGTCAGTTTGCCTGCCGAAGATCGCGTTCGATGTTGGATGCTGTCACCTACTTAGTACATACGATCGTTTCATCATTTGATTGTACTAACAAGGTGATTTGCATGGTTTGCTTAGAACAGCATCAACAGTATTGTTGTAGACTTTTCTAAAAGCACTAGTGAGAGAGATCTGGTGTGGTTTCTTAAAGTTTAGTTCACAAAAACCGGACCCAATTAACCAGTCGGAGAGACCAAATTTCAGAAACCCCACCCCCACCCCCGATACTTACGGGTGTTTTCTAAAGCAGTGTTTTTCTCCTATTTTTACCCTTGAATACCAGATTTTTCACTCAATGTGAATATGCGGACGACATCTCGCTCGGTTGTGTGCGATACGAGTAAACATTGGGCGAATCGATGGGCCGGAACTAATGTAATGTAAGGACGTTACAAGACAACCTGCTTGGGACTTGCGATCTCAATTAAGCCCAGCAGGCTTCCCAAAGACTACCAAACTCAAAGTTCTGCACTTATCTCACAACAGCATCTTCAAGTTTGTGAATTCGTGTGCCCTCCCCATTCGGGCTTATTGTTTCACCGCTGTGTATGCTCCAGAATACTTGGAGAAAGCTTTTGCCTTATTGTCCGAGCGCTGAAGTACATCCCTGGAGGCAGTGGCATACTCGTCAACTTTTGGTCAACAAACACAACAACGAAGGTCGTAACTTTTCTCCGAAGATCACATCAAATGCTCACTAACTCATCATTCGCTCCCCTACTCAGCCCGATCCCTCAGCAAAAATACCTTTTTAATAAGCAGTCTTGGTCTACCGCTTCTAGCTTGATAAACAACATTAAATGTATGCGTCCTTATTTCTTTTCCCATGCTTTCTGATGATTTTCTAACTTCAGTTTATTTTTTTGGACTAAAAACTCATCTACCGGTTCACAGAGCTTTCCCTGATTAGACTTGATGGTACTTTGATGACACCACTGAAGAAAAAACTCGACCCCTTCGCATATTGTGCATGCAGACAGTCGTGTTAGACCTAGTCATCAGAAACAAATGTCGGAAGTATACTGACCAGCCATCACAGAAACCATCTACAGTGGTGTCATATAGCATCATTTAAACGTGAGCACATTACAATAGGTGTTTCAGCTCAGGTAGGATCGTTCTTGAAGTGAAACATGAAGTATGAGCAACATATTTTTGAAATGGGGAGTCTGAGTACACGCGATGAAAAGCTAGTGACGAAAAACGTCCGAATCGTGGACTTGGTGCCGCTTACCGGACGGGACGCTTGCTCTGTCAAGCCTATGCATGTCAAGCCAGCACGCTATCTGGTGGCAGACTTGCTATGAACAAAAACTTGTCAATTTATAATGTTGTTTCTACCAAAAATGACGCACATGTGCGCGCTTACGTGGCTCGTTCACTCAACCTTATATCAATAGCATACGCCGATGATCTTGGAAACACCTGATGCTGACGATCAGAGTGAAAACCGAAACCAGCCGGGAAATTGGTAAACTAGGTTAGCGGTTAGCAAAACGCATGAACTGATCAAATCACACACCAAGGTGGGGTTGAACTTGTTCACACAAATCTGTGATTTGTAGGGAAGCCCGGCATGCCTGATGAGTTCAAAGTGGTCGGTGGTTAATCGAGAAAAATCGCTGGCACCTATGGATGACTTCTGTTGCATAGACAAACGCACGATAACTGCACCATCCTCGTAAATTCCCACAATAAAGCCATCAGAAAAAAGTAACATTCACATGAACGTGTTCCGAAAAGGGGGTTCATTTGAACCGATACTGAAGGCATCGAGGTATGATGCCACTCGAGGTTGGTGACAGCTTCTCAACAATCCAGCACCGCTTTTTGGGGCCTGGCCACATCCACGAATGTTGAAACCGCTGTGTCATGTTTCAACCCTTTCACAGCACATTCGGTTAGAAAATATTCTAAAACACTGTAGATTTATTGAATTTTCAGGTCACCATCTGTTTTAAAATGAGTGTTTAATTCCAAGTGTGTCTAGTTGTTTTATGTTTGGGCACAAAACGCGATTAGTAAGTCAGAGTCCAGGCTGGTGAGCCTCAAAACGTTGTGAGAGGTCTGAGAGGTTACATCTATTTATGAGAAGTACCGCCTGATGGAAACATTTTCACCCCTTTAAAGCGACCGCAATAAAACAGAGGGATAGTGAAATAACTCAACCCTCATAAAAGTACTTCGCAAGAGAGAAGAATGACCCAGTTCCAAGAAAGAACGAAGTGGCTGTCCACTTCGAAAATTAACTTCGCTTATATGCTATAGAATAATTAAAACTACCATCCTGACTGTTCAGACACAAATTGAAAACGACAGCTGTCCTGGTGAAACCCAGTAAATTGGGCGCTGACGAATACAACTGAAACAATGGGTGCTACAAGATCATCAACCTGAAAAAGACATCGTACCGCGCCTCTACATTAACCGGATTGTTTTCTTGAATTAAACGTCACGTGCAAGGCTTATGGAGGGGAAACTGAACCAAACACAACCTTATCAAACATACACTTAAGCTCAAACGCTTTGTGACGTCACATTAATCTAGCAAGCAAGATTGTCACTTTCCTATAGACAGTGGGACAGAATTCAAGCACCCTCCGAAGATTAGGGCAGAATTTTCCGCCAAGAACAACAGACTGTGGGCTTTACAGCCTGAGTTTCCGTGCAAGATTTATCGGACACAATATCATCCTTGACGTTATGCGGAAAAGAACTCATAGCTCGAGGACACCACGCTCGCCGTCGGGGCGTACTACTTTCCACGTACATACCACATGTAGGGAGACCCAATTTGAAGGGCGTGAAGATTCCATAGTGTTCAGTCTTACAGTAGCGGCATATTTTTTCCGACAATAAAAACTCTTCTGGTTGGATACTCGACTGAACCCAGGAATTGCGGCAACATGACGTGAGAAATGGAAATAGCATGGCACGCTTTACCGGTGACAAAGACATGTTTGTCAACCTCAGTAAGCCAGAGGAGGAAGTTTGCTAAATCCAAATTGAAAAATCCAGTGCACTAGTGAAAATTGCAACGGGTTTGGATGCCCAACTTTTCATTGTGCATCACAAACAAAGCGGTCGCAAACATTGGGGCACGGGGTCGAAAGACTCATTTGCGTAGAAATTGAGAAACCCGATTTTCTCAGGGGTATTTCCGAATCTTTCTAGAAGTCGTTTGAATAGTAGTCATCAGTAAAAGGGTAGTAATTTCCGACTCAACTATCGATTTACTGCAAATGTGATGCTTCGAACTGCAAACGGATGCTGTTCACAAGTTTCGTCAGTAGTATTTATTGTTACGCTACTGTAAAGTTATCTAAAATTCTTCCTGGCCAAACAAAGCATTCTCATTACGGGCTTGGACATGAAATGGGCCTAGATGGTGTAGACCGGATTTGATGGTTACACCCCTAGGTTCAGAAGAGAAGTCGCAAGAATTATGCTAAAACATGGCTAGTGTGTTCCAAACACAATTGAGGGGTAAAGTATGGAACGAGATAGGTTCCTCAGTCAACCGGTTGCAAAAAAAAACGGAACACTGAATATGAACCCGGCTGCTCTCTAGTAGACTGCTAAGGGCTAGAGTTCGAAGTTGAACTGGAGACAATGCCACTGAAATGAGGTAGCCAAGGTCAATACTACCGTCAGAATGGGTCGGACGCAAGGTTGGGAAGCTGATTTTGGTTGCAACATCCCAATTTCCATAAATCCTCATGAATGATTAGCCTGGAACGGACGCCAGGAACGTGATGCATTCGTCGGTTGTCCGGACCAGTTCACAGGCAAGCGTTTAAATCGGTGAAGGGTAGGCGGAGCCTATTGTGTAGGAGTTGGTGGGGTTCGGGTTTGGTACACTGCCTTAGTGACTTCAGACGATGATAAACGAGGAAGAACGTCAGATTAAGTGATACTCACGAGAGAAATTTAAGATTGATCATCAAAAAGGTGGAAGAACTGAATTCGCATAAGCTCACCAAACAGCAGGGCTTAAACTCTGCTTAACGTACCAGAGCG